AGATAAGGGTTCTCCAGAAACTTCAATTGATGTGCCTTACTTGCAGTTGTTACCTTGTAGTCCATCAGTTATCAAAATTTCAGATGAAAAAGCTGGTGGAGTTGACCAAAAATTGGATTTGAAGTCTGTGGTTAAAGGTGGTTCAAATGCATTTGCACGAAATGCATTATCAGGTGGTGCCAAATTAATGATGGGGAAGTCAGTAGCTTTGTCATTGCAAGATATCAAAAAGGCAACTCATGGTTTGAATCTCATAAGCACGGAATCTAGTTTGATGAACTAGCTGGGTCAAGCAGCTACTAGTGGGATTGTGCATGGTTGCCCATTTTTTGTCTCTGCTACCTCAATGAAGATTGCCTCTTCAACTCATATTGCAAAGCCTCGGACTTGGCATTGAAATGGTAATCCATCTTCATCTCCTCTTCCTGTAAGTATGCCTTTCTCTAGTATTATTCCACCCCAAAGGCAGTTGCCACAAAGAAATGGAAAATTTCGAAGTAATTCTTATGTGCATAAAGGTAACAGCCTTGTTAGAAAACCTCCAGTTGCTGCTCTGCAAAGTTCACATGGGTTTAGTTCACGCGTTTATCGGTCGAACTCTTTAGGTATAGATGGGTTGAAGAAGAGTGCAAGATCTGACAGTAGGGTTGATGTGAAAAACCCTTTAAGTCTCATGAGAACGGGAGAAACGAATGCTCCCTTTGGTAGGCTGACACCCCAACTACCTATTGCACCCAAATTCTCTCCTTGTGCGGCCATCTCTTTCGGGGTTCGTGCATCATCCCCAGTGTCTGAGCCTCTTAGTGGTGAAACCAAGTTAGATCCTATGAATTCTCTGGACACCAAAGATGACAAACAATTGTCAAGGACTCATCGACAACTTCCAAAAATCGGGAAAATCATAGTGGTCCCCTCAATAAGTTGGAAAACCAGACTGTACTACATAATGGGAATTTGGCACCTCCAAATACCAAGAATATTGTATATGTAAAGCGCGAGTTAAATCAGTTTCCGCAAAGTATGTTGGTTGATTATTAAGGATCTGATGATATGGCAGGAAAACGTATATTTCGCATTGGTTCTGTCCGGCACAAAATGGATCCTTCAAGGCCAACACTTGAAAGGATTTCAGGTGGGCTGCTCTTTATTTGCCGTGCATATCAACTGTCCTTTTCAATATGAGCTTTAGTTATATTTTTTTTAATGCTAATTATATAGTTTATGAGCATTTGCGCACACACTGAACACCGTTGTTTCTATTCCTGTCAGAGTTACATACACCCGTATGTTGCAATTCCAAAAGAATATTATAGGCTGATTAATGAGGGTATTGTGTATAGATGGCGAATCCTCAAGCTCTGCTGTGCTCAATCCGGAAAAGGATTCCAAGAGATCTTATGTTCCAAAGAGATTGGTGATTGGCAATGATGAGTAAGTTGCTGTCGTTTATGCCATAACGATAGATTCCTGAAATTAATACAAGCAAATGTGAATGCCAATTGGTGGTGCTTGGCAGATATCTGGGGATTGGCAATGGTAATCAGCTTATTAGGAATCTGAAGAAGCGAACTCGCATGTTGGCTAGTGAAAGAGTTCGATGGAGCTTGCACACGGCCAGACTGCAGTTACTGTCAGTTTTGTACAAGATTTGGGAAGTGCATTAAGGATGATGGAAAATGTCCCAATATCCATGACCCCTCTAAAGTTGCAGTCTGCACAAAGTTTCTGAAGGGTTTATGTTCCAATCCCAACTGCAAATTGTCCCATAAGGTTTACCATGTGACAGGACTTCACGTGATCTACAACAGAACTTTGTACATCTTCTTGGACATTTTATCATTTTCTTTTTATTTCACTATTTATATTTCATCTTCATGCAGGTCGTTCTTGAAAGAATTCTGAACTATTCTTACTGTTGGCAAGGTGCTTTCTGGTAACATTTTGCTAGTTAATAACCCCCCTCTCAAACAATGATGCACTAATTTGGAGTAAGTAAAATATATCTCCCTCACAGTGCCGGAAGAAGCATAGCTATGTTTGTCCGTCCTTCGAATCAACTAGAGCTTGCCTACAAAGGCCCAAATGCAAGCTTCAGCATCCCAGAAACCGAACGAAGGAAAAGTAAAGGAGACGAACAAGGGTACAAAGAAATGCTAGGGGACGTTACTTTGTGTCCAAGGATGTCAATGTTCCTGACCCAAGAACAGTGTCTGCAAAGCACCGTGCAGAGAAGTGCAATGACATAATTGTTGACGGAGTCAGCTGATTTCATCACCATTGATGTTAGTGATAAGGAGGAGGCTGGAGAAAGTAATGATCCAATACGGGAGCAGGCTTCATATTGTAACAGCGATTCATCCGAATTAGAATTAGATGATCTTGATGAACTGATTAAATTGGTACATTTACTGGATAGGTTTAAGACAAATGCGTCCTGACAGTGGCAGCTCAAGAGGGAACAACATGCGATGAGGTACATTGTGCAGTAATTAGTTTGTTGTAAATGTGGTTCGAGTAATTTTAATTTTCCCAGAGTTTGTTTCTGCAATGGGCGAGTATTGCCTCCTTTGCATAGGAGGATGCTGATGAATTAATTTTATATTATATATTTAACCCTATTCTTAGCATATTTTGGTTGATATTTTGGAAAAATTTTGATACTTTGAATTGTATTTTCAAAATAAGACTTTCGACTTCATCTGGAGCAAAACATGGCCAAATGGACGAATTTTGGAGTAATTCCAGTTGGAGGACGTTCATGAATCACTTGGCTTGATTGTATCAAAATATCATATTTTTCTACCAAGCGGTTATTTTCTGACGATAAAATAAAGGAGCAATGCGCTGTACTAGAATAGTGACGTTTTGGGCTTGACTTGCATTTTTGGAGCCCAAGATGACTTCGGATGGTTTTGTGGCCTTTTGGAGATGTGTTCAAAACGTCCTGATCTTTAAAACAAGTTATCTTGGGCCGGATTTGGATGAGATTTGGGGCTAAAATGTGGCTAGATAGTTTCTGTGCAGTTTATCCTAACTTAATTAGGACTTTATGTTTTAATATATTTTATTATTAGTTAGCTTCCTAGTGGAATAAGAGACTTGGTTCTCAGGGATTGTGCGGTTGGCTTTTAGGGAGATATTTAAGCTTTTAGTCAACCCTAGTTTGGGGCTACGCTTTCTTTTATGCAACTTTGGAGACAGAGAGAATTGCTAGGGTTCTTGGAGATTTTCTACTTTTAAGGTGCTTTCATTCCTTTTCTTAATAATATTTTCTATAATTTCAATTATGAATATGCGTAACTAATTCCTTTTGCTAGGGCGAAGCCTTGAGTTTTAGCATGAATATGTAATTTTTATTTAGTTGATTATGATTGATTGCATGTCTGCTTTGAATTATTAATCACCGTGATTAAAACTATCTAACTGTCTTAATGCCTGATCATTATTAGGATCTTTAGAAAAGTAATTTGATGCAATTTTGGTGGGAGGTCGGTCCCTGAAATTGAAGAAGGCTTCTTATGATTAGTATGTGCAAGTTCACTTAAGATGAACACCACATCTTAAGGGTTGCATGGTTTTTCAAAGGGTTTTTATAAAGCTTAATAAGTCATGCATGTTTAGATTTGATCTGAATATCACAGACGGATTGCATGTTTGATATACACTCTATACTGGGGGTCCAAGTAGGCATAAATTAGGAAAATCTAACCTTCAAAGTGGCATGTATAGATCATAAGTAATTGGTAAAAATACATAGGATTGCTAGGTAATGGTGGATCCCTAGTGCTTTCTCAATTTGATTTCTCCAAAACTTTTCCTTTTCTTTCAGCTTTAGTATTGCACATTGTTTTATTTTTATTAATTAAATATGTTTTATTAAATTAGATCATAAAAAAACAATTATCTCAAATTTCTATTTTACAATAATTAGTTGGAATTTGGTTTGTTTCAAATTATTTAATAATCCTTATGGAGAACGACCTTACGAGATCTGTTTATACTACAATAACCTTGTTATTCTTTCAAGTATTAAAAGAGTTTTCAGCCCGTTTGCGTGAGTAGTAAATTCCCTATCAGATACAAAACTCGAAAGAAAAGAGCAGATGCACGAGAGTCCGGTGTACTAACCGGAACCCGGGGCTACGTTAGCCAATTCATCGTCCTCAGATGTACCCATGGCTGTCCCTTTTGTTATGGACTTTTTTTCTTGGCTAGGGAATTGAGATTATTTGTTTCTTTTAGTGTTTTTTATTTTTCCCCTTGTAAATTGTATACTGTACATTTGCTATAATCTCGAGATAAAAAAAAATATTAAGCTCGAAATATTTTTGCATTTTTGTTTTCATTGTTAAGAGTTTTCCCCTGAACCCGAGTTCTCTGAATTTATTTTGGATCTTTTGCTTGGATCGTAAAATTGTTATTGGAACTCCTAAATAGTTATCAAGCACGCTTTTAAATGTATTTTTATTTTTTTCTTATGACGATTTCCAAGTGTCAATAACGGCTTCTATAACAAATCAAAAAATCTCCTCAAATAAATGGGTCAATGTCCATCAGGGCCGCCCACAATTGGTCATGTAGGTTTACTCATTTATGTCTGTATTGTGTTTGTGCTCGTGTTCTTATTTGTGTTAACACAAAAGTAGACACAATACGATATAAGAGAAAATATGATATAACAACTCAATGTTATTCATCAAAAACTTTAGGAGTGTGATTTTATTAGCCTAGTATTAATTGAATGGTTTACAAATCAAACCTTACGTGCGAATTTAGTCCATGTTTATCTTGAATCCAACCTTACCAATCAAAAAGCAATTGGGGAATCTTGCTGTGAGGTTTTGGACCTCCTGCAATCGCCATTTCTAAGGTGCGGACCGAATTTTATGAGAATTTAGAAACACTCAAACACCCGGTTCTACCGATACACTCGATTCAACTCGTCCAATTTCAGTCCGCACCTTAGAAGCGCCCATAAGTTGAAAATGCGATCACAAACATTAGGTTGGACCGTATCCCTCTTTTTCATTGGCCTCAACTGCAGAGAAAGACCATGTTTCCGTTACATTTAGAGTTGTAACCTGGCCTTCAAGGTCTTGTTTCTTATTGAGATATTAACATTTCTATGTGCAGAATCAGGGAGCTCCATTGACAGAGTACACTCTCCGTCTGATCGGTTCGGACATCCAGCACTGCATACGGAAGCTGCTATAAGATGGCGAAATAAAGTACATGGATGCCAGAGCCCTTGACTTCACATATGGTTGGTATTTACTACTCCACAAGCCCCCTTTTCTTATCACAGTTGCCTTCAAGTCTTATCAGATGGCGGAAGCACTTTCAAACAAGATGAGTCGTTCCATGGACAGAAGCTTTCATCTTGGGCCACATTCTAGCGAACATATACAACAGTAACACAAATCAGAAGACCGTTGGACAGGAATCCAATAATCATCAGCTGGGATGCAATGCACCCCACACTGGACCTCACATGCAAAGAGACGCGTGCAAAAGTCATGCACCAACACAGAAACAACAAGGTAAAGACATGTCAACGTGTGCTTTCACCGCTGTGCTTTCAAGCACACAAATGTACTAATGAAATCCCTCCATTCTTAAAACAGAAGTCTACTTCAATATATGTATAGAAAACTGGACAAAATCCGTAATCAATCCTAACAAAATTGTAATCAGTATATCGCTCTATTAAATGTTAATTAGCAATAAGATAACCCTAGTATCAAGCACAAACATACAACTAACCTTCAGCCAGTAGAAAAACCCCCGCAAGAGATTCAAAACTCTGGGGCGGTCACCGCGAGCTGCCTTAATCTTTCTCTTCAGGACTGTAAAAATTGAAAACAAATTAATTAAAACTAAAATTCAATCAAATTGAAAGGATACAAACAATATAAAGAAAAGGATCTAAATCCTTGGTACTTTTTGGCTAGGAACAAATTATATACTCTATGTCTGCTTCCGTTCGTCTAACCGTCCAAACATGTATACAAGCAGTGTCAAATGCAAATCCTTCCTAAATATGGAGGAAACAGCAGCCACAAATCTTAAAAAACATTATCTCAACCTACTTTCGTTCAACATATTGATCATTTAAATTTTAGAACCTAACTGATCTATATATTGTTTTAAAATTCAATACAGACAAACAGGAAACAAAATGTTGAAAGACGAATAACAGTAAATTGATGCTACGCTCATTTACTCATTCATTATAAAGAAAACCAACCTATGTGCTGTTTTAGATATGAAGGTCCGAGTTCCTCCTCTATTGAACAGGTTCCATTACACAGATTTCTGTCGTACCCCAATGGCTTTTGGTGAGTCGCTTCTTTCAAGAGCCTTCTATACTCTTCATAGTCATAAGGCCTGTTAAGAATCTTCATAAGCCCATTCCTAAACTGTGAATGACTTGCATCACGAGTTTTAACGCACCGCCCACTCTCTGCATCCACCTATTAAGTTGCAAAGCATTGACAACAACCAGCAAAAGAGAAATTTCAGATACTACGAATCAATAAAACTCACTCACACACAGACGTACGTGTACTTGCACAAATGCTCATAACTTAGGTGTGTGCATGTGTGTGTTTTGTGTGCGTATGTAACAACATAAAATAGAAAAAACAAACCAAAACAGAAATGGTGGAAGATCATACAGCAGCAAATGATGTAAAATTTTTATCAGATGGTTCTACTTTCGTTTCAACATCTGGAGAACTCTGTCCATCGTTACCAAGTATCACCGTTCTCCCGTTTGGAGGTGAATATAGCATTTTCTCATCAACAAATTGTAAACAACTTAAAACCTTTATATAGTCTTCATCTTCTAATCCACAGTTGCGTACTTGCTTGGCAAAACGAAGACCCTCCACGCAAGATCTTTTAAGAGGACTCTCCTTTGTACTACCTTTAGCAACTTTCTCGTTTGCACAACCTTGCTTGGTAAACTGAACAGCCTCCACAGGAGGTGTTTTAATAGTGTGCTCCCCTGTGCTACCATTTGCAGCTTTCTTATCTACATTCTTCTTCTTCTTCTTTATCGAGCTCCTTTCATTTCCCGTAATCACAAAACTCGGGGTTTTTCTATGTTCAGTTTTCTTTTTCATTGGAGAATATTTGAAAGTTTCTGGAGTATATGGAACCCTTAAACTAGGCAATTTATTAAAACGCCCATCTGTCCTATTGAAAACAGGACCCAGATCTACCACTTTTACATTCTTCTTCACCACTAAACTTTTTTTCTTGGGAACAGAATCTTCCAGAATTGCCCTGTTTTCTTTCCTCATATCATACCTAACAGTTCTTGGGCTCTCAGTCACTTCTCGATTCACAGGAAGAGCAGAATTTTTAAGGCAATGTATCCGTTCTCTCTTCATACCCCTCCTCAAAGTTTTTTGAATATCAGGCTTCTCTTTCACCTGAGATTTTTTCAAAGTTTCACGGGTGTCAAAATCTGTCCCGTCTAGTATCTCATCTTCTTCTTCATACGTGATCAGCTCTGATTTCCCATTATCTCCAACAACTTCCAGTACATAAGACTTTCCATCTTGCCTCAAATTTTCCATGAATATCTTATATTGAGGATCCTCATCATCAATACAATCATCCAATGACATAAAATGAACGTTGTCATCACCATCATCCGCATACCTACCGTTTATGTGGACATCATCATCATCATCCACAGACCTATTGTTTATGCAGGACTTTACACCTTTCGTCAATTTAGCCAAGTGTATCTTATAATCAGGATCCTCGTCACCATCGCCAGCAAGACCAACATCTAAAGACCTAACCTCACAGCTGTCATTGCCATCATCCACAGACCTACCATTTACGTTAACATCACCATCATCCACAGAAATACAATTTGCGTTGACTTCATCGTCATCCGAAGACATACCGTTTGCATTGACATCATCATCATCCGCAGACATACCATTTGCATTGACATCAACATCATCTGCAGACATTCCATTTACGTTGACACCAACATCACCGACACACATACCATTTTCATTGCCATCATCATATTTTACGACATTGACATCAGAACGATCATTCCGTTCATCCACCCACTTATTGTCAATATAAGCAACATCACTACCATGGTCAGCTAAAAAAATCAAGAATGTCTCATAATCCTCATCCCGTACTAGTCCTTCAACTTGGATACTGCACTTTCTTCTTTTCTTTGTGGCATTGCCGCAGGAATTGGGCTGAAATATCCTTTTGGTCACACGCTCTCTCTTCCTGCACCTCACCGATCCCATACCATCCTCAAAATCCTTCTTTAAACTGTTGAGCTTTCTTATCAACTTAGTCAGGCGCCATTTAGCAACAACTAGCACACAAACACAAAAGCTCCTCTTTTGTCTCTCACACTACTTCTACATTATCAAGCTTCTGTTTTCTGAAAACGCAGGAAAAACAAGAAGAAACCAAAACAAAATCAAAACCAATAAAGCAGAAACCAGAACATGCATTGTAACCTACAATCCTTTAACGTCAAAGGAAGAGAAACCCCCTGTTTGGCTTCCGAGAAAATGCAGGAAAAAGAAAAACCAGCGAGAGATCCCAATTCCTACACTTTCTTTGAACAATAGCAAAACCCCACAAATAGAAACCTTAAATAAGCAGTAAAGTTTAGGGCTTTCCAAATTTTCTAGTGTTTTCTGAGGAACCAAACAAAGGAAAAACCAATTTTTACGCTTTATGTGAGAAAAATGACAAAAATTCAACATGTGTGAGACTCAAACAAGCATAAAAATAGAGTGTAAAATAGGCAGAATAATTCCTCAAAATAAAAAATGCAGAATAATAAAAGAGTAAATAAATTTGGGTTTTACCGTCGTTGAAAGAGTTTGCAAGGGTGAGCTCGAACCGAAGACTGAAGAGACAGAGAACCCTAACAACCGAAGACACAGCTCAGACGAGATCCCAAAGACTTGTGTCCTGAACTTGTGGACTGACTATACAACTGACCACTTAACCAAAGAAAAAGAACATTAATTTATTACTAAAACAACTTGGTTTCTACATTACAGACAAACTCAATAGAGTCAATACTGAGCAAAGGGTGGGTAGAGATGGCAACGGTTATGGCGGGTGTGGATACAAATTTCTTCCTTTTGATCTTGGACAAAATTATACCTACAAAATAAATAACACTTTAGGTTAAGGTCAAGAGCCTCACACGCTCACGATGAATTGTTGCGGTGGGGGGGGAGGCTTTGGCAGAAGAACCTCTGATGCCAAAGTTAGACTTTAGAGATAAAAGTGTTTGAGAGTTTTGAAGAATTTTAGCCAGAGTGAAGACCTAGCTTTTTAGAGAAAAAATGGGGTTCAATATATAGAACATGGCCAGTCCCCTTTGAAGAAAATGTGGCCGACCCTTTGGGGTATTTTTGGTGTGTAATGGGTGATAATTGGTATAATGGGTGATTAATTGGATGATTAATGGATTAATTAGGAATTAATCCATTAATTAGCCTAATTAATTTATTTATAAGGAAGGTTTTGAAGGTTATGGAATGATTTCCTTGTAGAGGATATGGAGCAAAGATGGATGAGATAAATTTGAACTTGTTACCTATTTTAGGCACTCTTGACTCGGTTGATGGATGATTCTCCACTACTTGCGTATAGGAAACCCGGTGTGTCTCAAGGGTAATTTTGTCCTCTTCATCTAAAAATCCATGTGTCGCCTTTTGATTATTTTTGGCTCCACATATGCCCCCATACCTGCTGGGCTGCTTGAAGGAAAGGGCAACAGGTGTAGAGATCTTCTTGCTCTAGGACTGCTTCCTATTTTGATGTAGATTCCCTCCTTAATATGAAATTAGATCCATCTAGGAAAGGGAAATAAATTTCTCTCAAAGCCTATTTAAGGCCACCTTAAATGGGTTGTTAAATCAACTTTGGAGAGCAATTTATTCTACCCTACAAAAGAGAGAAAGCTTAGAGGATATTTGTTCCCCCTCCCCTAGCAATCTTCTACACTTACCCATGCAAAGGACCATCTTTCGTTGCTTTCTTTGTCTTCTCCGCGCCGCACCGATGTAAGAAAAACTTAATTCTCCTTATCTTCTTCTTGGGAGGTGCTGCCACGGGGCAGCCGTCAAGGTGGTGCGGTACGTCGGCTAGCAAGGGCCATGAGTCGGCTTGTCGTGGGCCAAAGAGGTGGTGTGGCAGGGACCATTGCTTGTGCTACTTGGCTTGATTGAAGCCAAGAATTGGCTTGGCATAGGCCGAGGAAGTGGCGTGGCATGGGCAACGGTTTGGGCTGCCATGTCTTGGCTGTTTGCCAAAAATGAGGAAACTGCTTGAGTTTGATTTCTCAGTTGCTGTAGATAGAGCAATCGAGGATAAAGCTGCCAAGATCGGAGTTGTTGAAGATGAAATGTCGAATGAGTGAACTGTTATGTGCAAAGGTGGCTACTGCCCCTAACCATTTGCCTAGTTGATCTTCAAGCATTCAATCTTTTGAGCTATGTGACCTTCTCGCACTGGAGAGCTTACCCATATGGGTGTTAGGGATTTAGTTTACCCTCTCACACTGGAGAGCAGACCCATATGGGTGTCGGAGAATTGGTTTACCCTCTCGTACTAGAAAGCAATTAGTTTATCCTCTCGCACTGGAAAGCAGACCTATATGGTGTCAGGGAATTAATTTACCCTATCGCACTAGAGAGCAATTAGTTTATCCTCTCACACTGGAGAGCAGACCCATATGGGTGTCGGGGAATTAGTTTACCCTCTCGCACTAGAGAGCAATTAGTTTATCCTCTCGCACTAGAGAGCAGACCTATATGGGTGTCGGGGAATTAGTTTACCCCCTCACACCGGAGAGCAATTAGTTTATCATCTTGCACTGGAAAGCAGACCCATATGGGTGTCGGGAATTGGTTTACCCTCTCGCACTGGAAAACAATTAGTTTATCCTCTCGCACTGGAGAGTAGACCTATATGGGTGTCAGGGAATTAGTTTACCCTCTCGCATTGGAGAGCAATTAGTTTATCCTCTCGCGCTAGAGAGCATGGAAATCATTGTCGTGAGTGCAACTGAAGAAAGCTGGACTGCTGGAACAATTGAAATAATCATTAGCCTGCCTTCGGTTCTTGGTAGTTGGGCTGGTGTATCCTTCTCGTACTCGTCTGCCCCCGGCGTGCCATTAGGCTGAGCTGTTACATTTGTCGGAACATAAGTAGTCTTTAGATCCAGCAATCTATATAGGGTAGTCCCGTCTACTCAATCTTATCATTGAATGATGACTCGCTCATGTTGGTCATGTCTTATCGAAGCGCCTTGTCAATAGCTTCGTTGCACAGGAAATTACGCAATCGCTCGGTTATGAGCCTTTTTACTTCTTTCTGAATTTGCCTTTATTGGGAGTGGCTGAGCTCTCGACTGCCCTAGTCTTGACCTGCTGATCTAGTTTGCTCTTCTACGTACTCGACTCGTCTATGCCGCGACAGCGGTGTATGTGGTGGATTCCTAGTAGGCGAGGGATTTCGCAGGCTACTGGTTAAACTTGAGCCGAATTAAGTAACTGCTTATCTCAGCCCGTCATGCTGCTTACTCCGATATGATATGGAGGATGCTCCTTGTGGGCCTAGCCACCAATGAACACTTCGCTTGGAAGGCTGCTCATGTTGATTATCGGAGTGTGATCCTAACCATTAGTGTATGCTCATCCGTGGGCCTGGTCGAGAGTGCACGCTCCTCCACGCGTTAAGACGGAAGTATATGTTATCTTGGGGACCCACTCGGGAATGTACTCTGCCCAAACGCTAGGTTCGTGGTAGGTTGAGTGGCTGTTTGTCGAGACGCTGCTGGAGAGGTTCTTCATTTGCCCTTGTCCTTCTTCGGGACACCTCATTTTGAACACGTTGCATCTTCGTGCATTGCAAGAGCTGGCTCACCAAGGTCGTCTGCTGTGCTAGGGCGTTTGTCAACTCTATGACTTGTCGGACAAGTGTTGTTCGCCATTTGGATTGGAAGAGCTTGTAAGGAATGTTTCTCCTTCAGCAGTGGAAGTGTGGTAGACTCCGGGTGCGAGATTTGAGCTGGGAAATGTCAAATCCGCAGAAAAATATGGTGAAAATGCTCCAGGTTTGGTCATCGGTCTAGAAATTTAGAGTCGGGACGGTTTAACTAGTCTTGGACCAATTTGGGCTGCTTGGAAGGTCATAGGAGCAGACTGGGCTGTGGAAGCAAGCTGGACCACGAGAGCAAGCTGCTTGGTGGGAGCAAGTTGGAGCACGGGAGCAGGCTGGGCCACAAGAGTAGACTGCTCAGCGGGAGCAGGTTGGGCCACGAGAGCAGGCTGCTCGGTGGGAGTAGGTTGGGCCACGAAAGTGGGCTGCTCGGCGTGTGGCACATGTCGGTGCGAGGCTAGGGCTTGGAGTGACATGGCTTGGGTCATGGCCTTGGTGCCATGAGCCTTGGATGGCACGGCTTAGGCTTGCTTTGATGGCATGGCTCGGGCCATGGTAGCAGTGCCATGGACCTCGCCGCAGGTGGCCACCGCAATGGTTCCCATGGTGGGACATTGTAGTGTTGGTGGTGCCGCTCCCTCTAAGAGGTTACTAAGTCAACTTAAATCCTTAGTTGAACTTTGCAGTTAAAAAGGTTATGGAGTTAACTCAAATGCTCAAAGATGTGCAGTAGCTCACAAACACACATGTTAATGTAAATCTGATTGCTTTTGTTCTCATAAAAGTTTGAAATTAGAAAAATTTCTGCTTATGCCTCCTCATCCTTCTTCCTCTACCAATTGGTGCTACTATATATATTTTGGTTGTTGTATGGGATCCATCATCTTGTAATTTCAACCATCTAAGCAACATAATCTACATTATTGTATCAAAATAACAAACAATATAATCTGCACGTCATCGCTAAGTACTCATATGTGTATTTTTTATTTATTTTTTTAATTTTTTTTTTCTTTCTGAACAAAGATATTATCTACAATGAGGGAGTAGGACAGTGGACTAAGCCTCACAATAAGTTAACAATAATGTGGTTCCAATTCACCTTTGATGAGAAATGAAACTAAGACCTCTCACTTACAAGTGAAGAGGAATACCACTAGACCATCTTCCATTTGCGCATCTTTGTTTGTGCGGTCTATGTGCTGTTATGCACCCTTATGAACAAAAATGGATCTTCTGAGAAGGATGAGAATCTATGTCAGATATGATTCGCTTTCAATCATTTATTACTTAGAACCTTTGACATGCGATCCTTTTACTGCTTGTTACGCTTATTGTCAATTTTATGAGATAGTCTTCCAGTTGTTAGGGGGAGATAAAAGCGTCACCGTTCTAGAATAATGATGTGAATTATCATGGATGACTCCTACAATGTCTTATTTGGGTTTCCATACCGCACGGTCTAATTCTGAA